TGCCCTTTTATTCTAAATGATAGCTTTGCTGGATAGAATAATCTTGGATGTAGGTCCTCGCTTTTCATGCCTTGGAATACTTCTCACCAGCCCTTTCTTGCCTGCAAGGTTTCTTTTGAGAAATCAGCTGATAGTCTTATGGGAACTCCTTTGTATGTAACTCCTTTTCTCTGGCTGCTTTTAAGATTCTCTACATGAGGGAATGAAGAGAGATAACAATGATGATTGCTTGGCTCTCTGACTTTTAGTCACTTCACCCATTACCTACAAGCAAATTGGGCCCTTCTGGTGCCCAGTCCCAGGTGGGTGGGTTTGTGTACATTCTAGGACTCTGTGGGTCTCTCCAGTGAACTCTCCTGTGAGGCTAGGAGTGTTCCTCCACTGCTGCAACCTCCACAGATTTTTACAGCCAGAGGTTTTGAGGCTTTATTTTCCTGAACTGGCAGCCTGGGTTGTGCAGTCCGTCTTTGTCCTTTGTTGTTCCTTCTGGTTTATCTGCACGCAAGTGTGGGACCGCCCAGTCCTCCAGTGGCTGTCTTGCCATGGGTCGTCTCTGCCCCAGCTGCCTGTCTCCACCCCTCCTGCCAGTCTGGATGAATGTTTCTTCTTTAATTCCTTGGTTGTCAGACTTCCATACAGTTTGATTTTATGTGAGTTCTGGTTGTTTTTGTTTTTAAATTTGTTGTTGTCCTTTTGGTTGTGTGAAGAGGCAAAGTGTATCTACCTACACCTTCATCCTGGCCAGAAGTCCTGTTGTTCTTTTAAAATACTGTCTGAACTTCACTCATGTCAGATTCATGAATGGCTCTGCAAAGCTAGGAAGATAAAGCTATATCAATATCTGGTCTGTCCACGAGCTGATTCGAATACTTTTCTGTTTTATCTGGAATATTTTCTTGTGTGTGTGTATGTGTGTTTTGCAATGCTTTCCAACTTCAAGGCCTGACTAAACATCAACCTCTCTAAGGTAGTATTTTAATATTATTTTTTGTGTTCATGTTTTTAGAAGATCACTTATACGTGTATGTTTCTTTCTGTTTGCAGTGGGTCATTTTTGTGTGGAACTGACTTGTAATTTTTTTGTAAAGGCTACATCATATTCTCCAACTGCCCAGTGCATAGGAGACACAGAACAGATCCTCTACATGTTCTTATGACAAGCTACATCTCTATGAGGTCCTGTGAATAGGACTGATGATGTTCTAAAATTTATTTTTTTAAAAATTTTATTTTAAAATTTCAATTGACATACAATATTATATTAGTTTTAGGTGTATAACATAGTGATTAGACATTTATATAAGTTATGAGGTGATGACCCAGTAAGTTTAGTACCCATCTGACAACACAGTTATTACAGTGCTATTGACTATATTCCCCATGCTGTACTTTACATTGCCATGACTGTTTTTTTTTATCACTAGCAATTTGTGATTCTTAATCCCTTCACCTTTTTCATCCATTCCCCACCCATCCTCTCAGCTGGTGACCACCAATTTGTTCTCTGTACCTATTTTGTGTATTGTTTTATTATTATTATTTAGATTACACATATAAGTGAAATTATGTGGTATTTATCTTTCTCTGACTTATTTTATTTAGTACAATACCCTCTAGGCTATATATGTTGTTGCAAATGGTAAGATTCCATTATCTTTTATGGCTGAGTAATATTCCATTGTGTATATTTACCACATCTTGTGAATTTCTTTGTTATCTGTTTGGACTGTAAATCTTTTGTTAGCAAGGATCTCATATATTTCCTGATCTTTCCATCATATCCAAGATAAATCTTTCAGAATCCTAGAATACCACAGCTCACACGTACCAACGAATTATTATTGATATTCAAAAATTTCAGCTAGGCCCATGTGGAGAAAGGACAGTGACTTATGAGTCAGGGGAGAATCCTGGAGATCTCAGATGGAGTGAGTGGGATGTTCAGGCCTGGCTGTGGTACATGATGGTACCATCATGGTAAATGTGGTGCCAGGAAGATTCTGCTCCAGTTAATGTATGTAGCAGCTATGCATGTTCCTCAGGCTTTTTCTCAATTCATTTATCAGCTATTTGAGACAACCTCAGAATATCAAATGGAAATTTGACTCTACAATTAGTATGTAAGGAAGTGGTGAAGCCAGAAGCATGGACTTTCTGTATGTCCATGCCCACTTACCCTTTAGCATCCATCTTTTTAAAAAAACTTTTTGCTGTTGTTCAATTACAGTTGTACCCATTTTTCCCCCATTACTCTCCCCTGCCATACCCACCTACTCACCTTCTGCATTCAATCCTATGCCCCTGTTGTCTTTGTCCCTGGGTTCTTTATGCAAGTTCCTTGACTTGACCCTTCCCCTTCTTCCCCCATTACCCACTCTCTCCCCACCCCTCTGGCCACTGTCAGTTTGTTCTTTATTTCCATGTCTCTGGTTTTACTTTGCTTGCTTGTATTGTTATTAGGTTCCACTTATAAGTGAGATCATGAGGTAGAAACTCCTACCCTTTGTGACAGAATGGATGGAACTGGAAAGTATTATGCTAAGTAAAATAAGCCAGGCAGTGAAAGACAAATGCCATACAAATCCATTGTTGAAACAATTCTTCCTTTTTTTCTTTAGGAGGAATCATCTCAATAATCTTATCTGGGTGGTATTAGACTGATATTTCACACAGATGGAGAGAGGTGATTCGTAGGTTACAATCACTGATGTAGAACACCTGCCTTCTCCAACCTCACTTTTTCCCCCATAACATCTCCCTGAATTTTCTTCTTTTCTTGATGATGATTAATTTTAAAGGCCATGAACTTCCAGGCTCCAGTTGTATTGAGTTTTAACTAGTAATTGGGTATATACAGAATTCAAGCTCTGTGCAGCCTGCTGGGAAAAAGCTGCCTCCCTAAAGGTTGGATTGCTAGTCAGGCTTTGCCCCTCCCCTTTCTTAAATGGTAAAGTGAAACTTCAATATTTCCATTAATTTAGGAGCCTTGTGTGCAGGTACACTGTCAGCAAGGGCTACAACAAATATATGTGTTCAACATTTATTCTTTGTGTGGCTGTGAATATAAAGATGATTAAGAAATGAAGTCCGTGTTCGAAATATTCTAGCTTGGATGACAGGTTGTGTTACAGTTGCTTATGTCAACATCAAATAAAAAGGTAAGATTTAAACCTCATTGCTTTTGCTTTTGTAAAACATGAGGAGGTTGTATCAGATGAGATGGAGAGTCATGTTTCAGGTTACGAGCCTAATGCCTTAACAAGTATGAGATGGGTAGTATTCCCTTGCGTAAATGTACCATAGTTTTTTATCCACTCATTTACTGATAGGCAGTAAATTTGCTTCCAACACTTGGCTATTGTAAATTGACCTGCTATGAACATTGGGGTGCATAGGTTCTTTTGAATTGGTGTTTCAGGATTCTGCAGCAGAAAGAAAAAAGGAGCTCCTACCCTTCATGACAGCATGGAGGGAACTGGAGAGCATTATGCTAAGTGAAGTAAGCAAGTTGGTGAAAGACAAATACCTATGATCTCACCTATAAGTAGAATCTAATCAATAACACAAACAAGCAAGCAAATGTAACCAGAGAATTGAAATAAAGAACAAATTGATAGTAACCAGAAGGGAGGAGAGAAGGGAGATAATGGAGGGAAAAGGGGAAGGGTCATGGACAAAGGCAAAGGGGGGTAGGATTGAGGGTGAGAGGTGAGGATAGGTGGGGGAGGGGGAGTGGTGGGTGGAAATTGAGATAATTTTACTTGGACAACAATAAAAAATAAATTAATACAAAAGAAGTATGAGATGGGTACTGGCTATTTAAGAACAGTCTGGTTGCTTGGAATTTTTTAAAAAATGTTTATCTGTCATTTGAACTTTGTCTCAATAGACATATATGTTTTGTATTGTGATTTCTATCTCATAATTGTTTTCAGATGTATCTGTTTATATGTATGACTATATTTTCCATACCACATGGAATTTGATTATATGAATGTATCGCAATTTGTGTCTTCATTCTGTTGTTGGTCATTTGGCCTGGAGAATTATGTTCATTTACATTGGTTATTATTGTTGATATATTTGCAATTCATTTATTGAAATTGTTTTTTTTTTTGTCTTCCCTTTTCATTGGCCTTTATTTTAACATTTTTCTACTTGTTTTTGATCACAGGCCGCATTTGTTATCATTCTGTACCAGTCTCAGATGCACGGCTAAGCAGCCAGAAAACCATGCACTCCATAGAGTGGTCCCCCTTCTTCCCCAAGCACGACCTGGTCTCGTACATAGTTATCATGACATTATCAACCACATTTCCAATGCTGCACACTACATCTCTGTAACTATATTGTAACTACCAATTTTTATTACTTAATCCCTTCACCTCATTCACTCAGCCTCCAAATACCCCTCCTTACTGACTACTGTTAGTGTGATCTCTGAACATATAAGTCTGTTCCTATTTTGCCTGTTTATTTTGTTCACTAGATTCCATATATAAGTGAAATCCTGTGGTATCTGTATTTATCATTCTGACTTATTTCCCTTAGCATAATATGCTTTATGTTCATCTGCGCTGTTGCAAAAGGTATGATTTCACCCTTTTATATAGCTAAGTAGTATTCCATTGTGTCATGTACAACAGCTTTTTTATTCACTAATTTATTGATGGGCACTTGGGCTGCTTCCAATTTTGGCTATTATAAATAATGTTTCAATGAACATAAGGGTGCATATATTCCTCTAAATTAGTGTTTCAGATTTCTTTGGCTATATTCTGAGAAGTGGAATCATTGGATCACAAGGCAGTTCCATTTTTAATTTTTTGAGAAATCTCCATACTGTTTTCCACAATGGCTGTACCAACCTGCATTCCCACCACAGGGTTCCTTTTGCTCCCCATCCTCACCAACATGGTTTGTTAGTTGATTTGTGGATGATGGCTATTCTGACAGATGTGAGGTGGTATATCACTGTAGTTTTGATTTACACATCCCTGATGGTCAGTGATGGTGAGCGTTTTTTCATATGTCTATTGGCCATCTGTCCATCTGCTTTTAATAGAAAAAAATATTTACAATATCATAATTTGTCTCCTTCAGGTGTTAGTGTGGCAAGACAAATTATGTCCAAATTACTTGTCAACTTAGTTCCTAAAGAGGATAAATAAGTGTCTCTTTTTTCCTCTTCGTTTTTTCTACTTTTTAAAAATAAATTGCATAAATATTATTAGAAATTTTTACAGCCAAAGTCAGCTTTTCTCTTTTACTCCATATGGGAATTTTTGCTTTGGTTTATTTATTTCTGCAGCTATCTGCTATTTTCTAGTCTGCTTATTTCATGTTTATTCATTACCTTTCTCTTGGTGAACATTTTGGTTGTTCTAGATTATTTTCCTTTTTTGAATATTTCTTTGATATATTCTTCTGCATAGCTTATTGTTTACTTTGTTGTTCTTTTGTTTGTTTTGGCTTTTTGTCTTTTCTTTTCCTTGCCTTCTTTTTTGTTGTTATTTTTTGTTTATTTTATTTTATTGATTATGCCATTACATTTGTTCTATTTCCCCCCTCCGTTCCCCTCCACCCCGCACACCCCCTCCCCCACCATTCCCCCCTTTAGTTCATGAATACTTGTCTCAAGTTCTTTAGATTCTATATTTCCCATACTATTCTTACCCTCCCCCTATCTATTTTCTATTTACTGTCTCTGCTACTTATTTTCTGTACTTTCTCCCCCCTTCTCCTTCTCCTACTCCCCTGTTGCTAACCCTCCACGTGATGTTCATTTCTATGGTTCACTACTGATCTAGCTGTCCTCTTACTTTGCTTTTGTTTTAGGTGTGGTTCTTAATAACTGTGAGTTTGCTCACAGCAAACTGTGAGTTTGCTATCCTTTCACTGTTCATCTTTTTTATCTTCTTTTTCTTAGGTAAGTCCCTTTAACATTTCATATAATAAGGGCTTGGTGATGATGAACTCCTTGAATTTGATCTTATCTGAGAAGCACTTTATCTGTCCTTGCATTCTAAATGAAAACTTTGCTGGATAGAGCAATCTTAGTTGTAGGTCTTTGGTTTTCATGACTTGGAATACTTCTTTCCAGCCCCTTCATGCCTGTAAGGTCTCTTTTGAGATATCTGCTGACAGTCTGATGGGAACTCCTTTGTAGGTGACTGTCCCCTTATCTCTTGCTGCTTCTAGGATTCTCTCCTTCATTTTAATCTTGGCTAATATAATGATGATGTGCCTTGGTGTGTTCCTTCTTCGGTCCAACTCCTTTGGAACTCTCTGAGCTTCCTGGATTTCCTGGAAGTCTATTTCCTTTGCCAGAATGGGGAAGTTCTCCTTTATTATTTGTTCAAATAAGGTTTCCATTCATGACTGTTCCTCTTCCCCTTCTGGTACCTCTATAATTCGAATGTTGGAACATTTAAAGATGTTCTGGAGGTTCCTAAGCCTCTCCTCATTTTTTTGAATTCTTATTTTTTCATTCTTTTCTGTTTGGTCATTTTTTCTTCCTTCTGGTCTACTCCCTTGATTTGAGTCCCAGTTTCCTTTCCATTACTATTGGTTTCCTGTACGTTTCCCTTCATTCCAATTAGTTTAGCCTTCATTCCAATTAGTTTAGCCTTCATATATTCCTCTAATTTGTGGCTAAAATCAACCAGTTCTGTGAGGATCCTGATCACCAGTGTTTTAAACTGTGCATCTGAAAGTTTTGCTATTTCTTCATCGCTTAGATTTATCAGCTCTGGGGCTCTGAGTTGTTCTTTGAGCCATGTTTTTATCTGTTTGTGCAGGGTGGGGCCGCCCAGGTTGCTGGTTTGTGATGCTGTATGTGGGGGCGGGGTCAGAAAGGGAGCAATGGCGGTCCTCTCTGCTCGCCCAGTTCGTCCCACTGCTTGCCCCCGCCTGTTCATCTGAGCGGAAATGTGCGAGCCTGCCGCCCTGTGCCGTGTGGTGTCAATGCTCGCCTCTTCACTGGTTTATCTGCACGCAAATGCTCGACTGACCACAGACAGCCAGCTGCGCCTCTTCCCTGTGTCCGCCCATAGCTGGCCCGCACCTGGGATCCGAGCACTCAGCTGCCTGTGCACCACCCAGGGCGGGGATCTTTTTGGCCAACCTGCTCCTCTGCTGGCTTTGCCCCTCTTACCAGTTTAGCTGAGCATTTCATTGTTTTTGGACTCTGTATTGTCGATTTTCTGTGTGGTTTGGTTGCGTTTATTATTGTTAAAACTTTATTGTTTTTAGATTTGGTTGTGCAAGGATGCAAGGTGTTTCCACCTATGCCTCCATCTTGGCGGAAGTCTCTCTTGCCTTCTATATTGTTTCAAAATTAAAATTTTTTTCCTTCATTATGTTTTGTTCTCCAATTTTGGAAGTATTGCTATCTAATTTAAGATTGCTTTTTATCTCTGTTACTTATTATGCATTTAAAAATAATTGTAGTCCTTTGCCCACTTTTTAATTGGGTTGCTTGTCTTCTTAGAGTGGAGTCGTGTAAGTTCTTTGTATATTTTGGAATTAAACCTTTTTCTGAGGTATCATTGGCAATTATGTTTTCCCATACAGTTGGTGTCTTTTTATTTTAATACTATTTTCTTTAGCCATGCAAAAGCTTTTAATTTTGATGAGATCCCATTTGTTTATTCTTTCCTTTATGTCCCTTGCTCTAAGGGACATATCAGTATAACAGTCGCTGCATGAAATATCTGAGATTTTCTTGCCAATGTTCTCCTCTAGGACTTTAATGGTGTCATGGCTTATATTTAAGTCTTTTATCCACCTTGAATTTATTTTGGTGTATGGTGTAAGTCTGTGCTCGAGTTTCATTTTTTTGCATGTAGCTATCTAGTTCTCCCAACACCATTTGTTGAAGAGGCTATTTTTAGTCCATTTTATGTTGCTGCCCCCTTTGTCGAATATTAATTGACTGTAGAGGGTTGGGTTGATTTCTGGGCTCTCTTTTCTGTTCCATTGGTCTATGTGCCTGCTTTTATGCCAGTACCAGGCTGTTTTGATTACAGTGTCCTTGTAATACAGTTTGGTATCAGGTACTGCGATCCCTCCTACTTTGTTCTTCTTTCTCAAAATTGCAGCTGCTATTCAGGGTCGTTTATGGTTCCATATAAACTTTTGAAGTGTTTTTTCTATGTCTGTAAAGTATGTCATTGGTACTTTAATAGGTATTGCATTGAATCTGTAAATTTCTTTGGTTAGTAAGGACATTCTGATAATATTAATTCTTCCAATCCATGAACATGGTATGTGTTTACATTTGTTTGTGACTTCCATGATTTGTGGGAGCGGGGTCGGAGAGGGGCAATGGCATTTGTTCAGCTCTCTCTGGGATTTCGGTCCCCTCTGCTGCTTCTTGCAAGCAAACCGGTTCTCCCTGGTGCTGGCTCCTGGGTGTGTGGGCCTATGCACCCTCCAGGACCCTGTGGGTCTCTCCAACAAACTCTTGGTGAGCCTGGAAGCTTCTCCAATCAATGCTTTCATGCTTTAAGTCTTGGCACTGGGGCCCTAGCCTGTGTGGTCTGTCTCACTGCTCACTCCTTTGCCTGGTTTACCTGCTCACAAATGTGTGACCGCGTTCAGCCAGCCACCTTGTGCCCCCACTGGGTCTGCCCACTGCAACCCCACACCTTAGATCCTCCAACCATGGCCTGCGCTCCTGGGTCAGTCAGGCCGCTTTTGCCTGCCCGATTCCATTCCACCAGCCGCTGACTCCAACCTCTTACTGGTCTGGCTGAATGCTTCATTGTTGTCAGACTTCTGTACAGTTCAATTTTCTGTGTTTTGGTTGCGTTTTTGTTACTAAAACTTTGTTGTCTTTAAACTTGGTTATGCGAGGAGGCACAATGTTTCCACCTATGCCTCCATTTTGGCCAGAAGTCAAGACCACCTGGAATCTAGTTTCTTTAAGAGGAGGGAGCTCTATGATTATGGTGCTTCTTCTTCTGGTGTGTGGATTTTCTTCCCTGTGAAATTACTGAAATGTAATTATTTGGGGAAATAACTGTGTATATATTTTAGGAGATAATGGTAATGTGAAAATCTTTTCTATATTATAAGCTGTGTTTGCCTTTCATGGATAGATTCATGATCAATTAATTATATTTTATTTATTACAAAGGTCAGAACTGAATAACCTTTGAGCACTTTTTAAAGATAAATACACATCTGACACTTTGTCTTATGATTCTTTCTGTAGTGAAAATAACTTGTTCTCTGGACTGGATGATGGTCCAAGTTGTCCCAAATACTTGCAGTGGACATCAGTATATACTGGCTGAGGAATTATACCTGGGATCAGGTTGTCCTGCGACTCGGATTGAAACATATGTGTATCATTTTATATATCTCATTTCTGATTGCGGCATCAGGACACAGGTGAGACTAGTGATTATTTGTAAAGACAATTTATAAATACTTTTTTAGACCTTTATGGCTGGTGCAAAAATTGTTTTTTTTTAAGGTTTTATTTACTTATTTTTAGAGAGAGGGAAAGGGATGGAGGAAGAGGGGAGAGAGACACCAATGTGTGGTTGCCTCTTGAGTGCCCCCTACCTGAGGCCCAGCTTGTAACCCAGGCGTGTGCCCTGACTGGGAATTGAACTGGCAACCCTTTGGTTCACGGGCTGGCACTCAATCCACAGAGCCACAGCAGCCAGGGCTAAAATTGTTTTTTAAGAGCAAGTTTTGCTTCTGGTTATAATGATTTATGAATAGATAACAACACAGTTCCTACTTACCAATCAATGAATATGGGCCATCTATGTGCACAGGACCTTGTAACACAGATTAACAGACTGGAAGGGAACTGACCTTAAGTTATCTTCAGGCTACAATTGAATTTCACCACAACTTAGCAGACAGTTGTAAATTTCATTGAAAGCTCCTAATATGGAAGGTCCCCAGTCCTGGGCCAGTTTATCACATTCAACCTTATGTCATTTGAACCTGCCCATGTTCTGTGAGGACATATATCAATATGGGGAGTAGATTTTTACTGGAATAAAATCTGTCAACTATTTTGCTGGCACAAATCAACTGCATTGTTATCTTGACATGTTATCTTTTAAAACAGATTTTTGAATTTAAACACCGTGTAGCCATACTACAAAAATATTTCATGCCAATTACTAATGATGACAGTCATCTGTGAATAAGGTCTTATCTCTGCTTTGGAAAGATGGGAACTGGAGCTTCGGAAGGTGCTTTAAAAATTGGCCCGGGGATGCAGGGCTGGTTGGTGATAGTTTAGAAGCCAAACCAGGATGGTTATCCTTCAAAGCTTATGCTTTGAACCACTGTATTATTTGACCTCCAAATTATCTCTCTCAAAAGAACTGTTGAAAACCTTTTCAATAATAAATCACAAAGGTGGCTCTAAATGGCAGTTTAGGTCACTTAGAGGTACTATTCAGATTTGCCCCCCGCAGACACTTTAAATTCACTCTTCCAGCTAACAACTTCTGCTGTCCCAGGGGGTTGTCAGACCTTCACAGTTTCCTAAAAGTGAAAATAGCCATTTCTGTGAGGTTGAATATTTTCTACTTCCTGTTCGTATGTGTGTATGACTCCTCTCCCACAATAAGTACCTTCTACTTGATCTTTGTGCTCTCCTAGGTTGTGTCAGAGCATATTCTCCTCTTGCAAAGTGAGCTGTACTATAACCCAAGGGATCTACATTGCCATTGCCAAATAATTCCTCTGCAGTGTTCCACCTCTAGGTGAGTCCGATAGCTCAGACCGCTTTCCAGTGCCTTCACTTCACCTTATCAGACAGTTCTGCAGAAGCATATACTATCTGATTCACCCATAAGCCTATAAGCCTATCTCTAAACAAACACTAAATTAGCATTTACAAAAATATTTTAATGAATACTCTTATCTTTTGTAATATAATAACCATTTTAGAATCAAAACATATGGAATCTAGAGGGACTAAGTTATTTTATAGTAACTGAACTACAAAGCACAGTCATTAAATATGCAGAGTCACTTTAGTAAGTAAGAGAATCAAGCATGATATTACCTTTCAAAGCTCTCTCCATAATACTGTCTTCTGGTACATGTCCATGTTAGGAGAGTAAATAGCTAAAAATTTAAGAGAAAAGCAATTTTTTATTTTATTCCATTTATTTATTTATTTTTAAAATATTTTATTTATTTATCTTTAGAGGGGAAGAGAAGGAGAGAGGGAGAGAAATATCAATGTATGGTTGCCTATTGTGCATCCCCTGCTGGGAAACTGTCCTGCAACCCAGGCATGTGACTTGACTGGGAATCGAACTGTGATCCTTTGGTTCTCAGGCCTGCGCTCAATCTACTGAGCTACACTAGCCAGGGCTCAATTTTTCATTTTAATACTAAGTCACAGAGGTACATGAAAGGAAGAGCTTATCAGCCTAATAATTAAATGTACTTTGCTTGCGGTTTTGTGAAACTGAGACACTGAATCCTAAAAGGACCGACATTGAACTCTGAGACCAGTGGAATGCTATCCTGGTAGACTTTGACCATTTCAGTGAAATACGTGCACTGAGTGGTATAAACTTGAATGACAAATCTGGAAACCACCTGAAAACCACAGGAGAATTCTGTCCTTGTTTAATATATGAAAATAGTTAACACCAAAGCAAAGAATTTGGAGCTCAGAGCTAATGTGCAGTATCCTTTAGCATGATCAGAGTATTATTGGGGGGAGTAAGAAAGAATTGTTTTTTTGTTATGGTAAAATATATACAAAATGGCTTAAATGGTACATTTTATTATAAGTTTAAAATTTAGTGGCATTAAGTGCATTCACATTGTTGAAAGCCTCTGACCTTCCCTTTAGCTCATGTTAATGGAGCAAAACAAAGGCTGAGGGGTTCAGCACTACACACACACAGCAATGGGTCAGGTGAAGCTTTTGACAGTTTTCATTTGCCATTCTTAGGACCTAAAAGTCTAAGTCTGGACACTTGGGCATTCTGCTAATGCAGACATTATGTCACCTTCCTCCAGGAGGTACAGGTCCTGTTCTGCACCACCAAAACACCAAACTGACAGTGACTATGGTGTTCAAAAGTGATGAAAAGGAAAATAACTTGGCTCTAAGGTCAGCCTCAGAAAGACCTGGTGCCAAGCACATGCACACTAGCTGCTTTCTGTTTTTTCTTTCTTTAGGCAATCAGTGTGGCTTACACCAGTCTCAACAGATGAAATAAAATTGGATCCCAGTCCTTTTATTGCTGACTTCAAGGCAACGCCAGAAGAGTTAGGATTACTATGTTCTGGTTAAACTGACTCCCTCCTTAAGGAAAAAAGAAAATGTGAAATTGACATCATGAATTTTGTTGGAAAACATTGGGGCTTTTTTTTTGGTACAAAAAATAATTGCTATAAACATTTCCTTAGGTATCTTTTTTTTTTTAAGATTTTATTTATTTATCTTTAGAGGGGAAGGGAAGGAGAGAGGGAGAGAAACATCAATGTATGGTTGCCTTTCGTTTCCCCGGGGTCTTAGGTATCTTGATCCTTAAAAAAAACCTTAATTCAAATGATGGTTCTGATTCAATGAAGGTGCACTTTTAAATAGTATTATTTATTAGAAGTATGCCTTATTAATCTTATGTTAACTATATGGTACTTGGTATTACCCATTTAAATTCTATTTCCTGTTCTATATATTAATTGAGCCATATGTCCTCAATGACAATAGTTTGATCTATTTGATATGAACCTCTGGAAATTATTATATATTTTTAGTAAGAATAAAAAATAGAGACAAGTGTGTACATGTGCCAGAGACTAAAATTTGTGCAGAAGTTAAAATTAAATATACTAACTCCCAGGAGACACAAAGTGTTTTTATGTGAGAATGCTTTAACTTGGGTGTGCTTTCCTAGTTAATCAATAAAGCTGAGTCTTAAAAATAATGTTCACCATATTTAAGCAATTATTGTGGGAGAAATAAAATCTATGTTCTAGAATTTAGGGACTACTCCCTTCACTGAAATGTGATGCCAGATTATCCTTTCTTTCTGATATGACTTTTCTATACTTGAAATAATTGACAGGGTGAGATGCTCAAGCATCGTATCATCCTGACACATAAGAGCAATTCATTACATGATCACCTATCGCCAGCTATTTGTGCTGTCTTCTTTTCACTCAAGGGGAAGTCTGCCCAATAATACACCAAAAAAAATTCACTTCTGACTTTGGGGATATTTCTTATATTCAATTAGTTACTGATATGTACATTTTGGGTGCTACATCCTTTGTGGAACAAATTTTGCTAAGATATTTTTCATTAAGTTTTTTTGGTAAAGATTTTATTTATTTTGAGAGAGGAAGGGAGGGAGAAAGAGAGGAAGCAAAATATCACTGTGTGGTTGCCTTTCACATGCTCCCAACTGGGGACCTGGCCCACAACCCAGGCATATGCCCTGACTGGGAATCGAACCAGCAACCCTTTGGTTCTCAGGCCTGTGTTCAATCCACTGAGCTATATCAGCCAGGGCTCATTAAGGTTGTTTTTTTTAAAGATTTTATTTATTAATTTTTAGAGAGGGAGGAAGGGAGGGAGAAAGAGCGGGAGAGAAACATCAATGTGTGGCTGCCTCTTGTACACCCACTACCTGGAGCCTGGCTACAACACAGGCATGTGCTCTGACAGGGAATCAAACTGGCAGTCTTTTGGTTCACAGGCTCACGCTCAATCTACTGAGGTACATCAGCCAGGGCTCCTTTGTGGGAGGTATCTGCCTGAAGAGTTCCCCACCCTGCCCTGCCCCTGCCCAGCCACCATGGATGAGAATAAGTTTACCAAGACATGGTCTGTTAGAGGAGGAAAGGTGGCCGATTTCTCAAAGGAGAAGGGCTAGGAGCCTGTTCTTCAATGGGCTTTTATTTGGCTTAATTTGCGTGTGAATATGGGGTGTATTTGTAAAGCTCGTCAATCATTGTCAGGCAATAATGATCAAACAATAGATAACATTCAAAGAACTCTGAAGGCTTATTTGGAGTCAGGGTCAGAGGGCCATAAAGCTTTGGGGAACAAACCGATTTCATGCTTGGGCCCTTATCATTTAAATTGAGGATTTTAGCAAAGTAGGTTTCATAGAATTTTATGCATTCTTTCTTAGGCCTGATTGCCCAAGGGAACCATTCTTTCCGGAACAGGGCTGCACCCACATCCAGTTTTGTTTCAGGCTTAAGTCAGGGTGGGGAAGTAAGGCAGCCAAAGAAATTAGGAGACTTCTTGCAGACAGAATGAGGACTCAGGCTGTGTCAAAGCTGAGGAGTGAGGGTCCATCACCCCTTTTTGCTATAGCCCCCCAAGTCCTTCCCTGAGGGCCCCTTCATGACCATGCCTGTTTTAGGTCATCCCTCCCTTGAGGAATCTTACCTGTCATTGGCTAACTGGTCAGGCTTGGGGCCAAGTAGGGCGAAGTAGAGGGGGCAGAGGTGGTGCCCCTGCCAGGGAGATAAACTTTGTTTCCTTAGTGGCTTATTGTCCCAAGATCTCTCACTCAGCCTTAGCCATAGGGGGTTACAGCTTCTGAAACCAGGCAGGATAGTTCCCAACACTCATTAAGCTTTAAAAATAGTTTAACATGCTGCTACCTTATATTCAATAAAATGTTGTTTATTTCCTTGTCAAAGAATTTAACCATTGCCATAATGGATACATCCTTTGGCAGTTAAAACACAGGTAATGATGACATCTCTGGAAGGCTTGAAAGGAATGTCAGACAATACCACCAGCGTGTTGTGACAACTTATTTAATCCTAACAACTTGAAGAGTTATCCATTACTATAAAAGACCTTAGTTGCTAAGACCTTTCTATTCATTCTGTCATTGAAAAACTGTTTTCTAAGGTGGGTACAATGAGCTTAAATGTACAAATGAGGTAACTGAAGTCTTATAGTTTTAATAATTTCCTTGCACAGCTCTTTCTATAGTTCTAAATTTAAAACAAGTATGTTCAAAGAAATACTTTTTTCACTTTGTGGAGAGCAGGATCAATAAAATGGCATTGGTCCAATCAAGATAGGATAAAGTAGAGTCACTCATGTCAATCAAGAAGACTGTCAGTCAGCCATGACACTTTGGTTCAAGAGGGAAACTAAGTCAGAACAGACACTTCTGGCACGGAAACACACGTAAGATATCTGCACAGGTGGGCAGAAGAGTCACATATGCAGAGCAGGACCACCCACAGATAGGTTCCTGGGCAAATTCCCCACTTGCCATCAGGGGTGCCAAGACACTTAACAAAAGACCCAGAAGACTGGAGTGTACCACTTTCACGACAGAACTGAGGCAGACTCCAGACCACTGCTGAATCAGCTGAGCTCCACACACCAGAGTACTGCTCCATGCCACGCTGATCTCTCTTGGCATCAGCTGCTGGAGGCTCTGCCCTGCTGGACTGAAGACTTTGTCTTCCCTGCAGCCCACCTGGCTCCTGAGATCCTTCCTTGCAAGATACAGATAACTCCCTTGCCCACCATGCTCTCTCCAAAACCTTCAGACTAAGACTCTGGAACTCAGGTTCATTATCCCCCATCGATTGTTCTGTGTGTGTGTTATATTTCTCTTAGGTTGTTAGAGTGTGAGAAGGATATTAATATATGTCAATGTTCTACTTTGAGTGAAGCTGCATTCAATAAAAGCTGAGTGAATAGCACAGTTACTGTGTGTGACTCATCTATTTGTTGGTGCCAGGCTGCTCAGCAGACAGCTAGCTGAGCAGTTGCCTGGCTGACTTTATAGGGAAAGATTGTATCATGAACATATGCTTGTGACACACTTCCTCATATTTCTTTCTTTCTTTTAAGACACTTTCTTGTCCCTTTTGTCTGCAGTATTCCATTTGCAATGGCTCTGGCTAACTGTTCTTCCTTCATTCCAATCCTATCCCTTCCTTCCTATCCCTCTACCCATATTTTCTGCTTGTATTTCTTGTTCCACCAATGTGTTAAACAACATCTCAAAGTCAGAAACAGTTATTCCTGATGCCAGTTTCCTACCCAACACTATGCCTGCACACAGCACAGTGACATCTAAGTGGTTAGCACACTCTTTAGTCTCCCAGCAAAACATGTTCATTGCCTCCTCTGAACTATTGCATAAGGTAGAGATCCATTCAGCCTGAGTTAGAAGAGGCTGCCATCTTCTGGTAAAGATGCTGTGGTGACCGTTACAGAGTGTCTCCTACTCACGACAAGATAAGCTTGAGAGGAAAGAAGTCTGTCAAGGCTTGAAGCCTCCAAGGTAAACCCTATAGAATCCCTCTCTCCTGCCTTTTGTATCAATTAAAAGTGTCACCCAGTAGGCCACTGAGAATGTCTGCAAAATTTTCTGCTTGGTTGCTATGTAGAGATTTGGAACAGCCAGCTCTATAGATGGCTTTCTCTTGATGGTTACTTTGGTGCCATGGTGAAAAATGTTAGATGTAATTACATAGTTATTTATTTGGAAAAAGGTGTGCGTGGGCACACATACATACAGACGTACACCTCTTAGATATGTTAAATCCAAGTGGCTGCACCCAAATTTGTCTGCCAGCTCTGGCAGTGAGGGATGGTGTGGACACACCTGAGGTACGGAATTTGGGGAGTGAGCTTCTGCATAAACTCAGGGGGACAGTTTCAGTTAATGACATTCTAGTGGCAGCCAGGTTCTGATTCCTAGCTCCTCAGATCGCTGGCTGTGCTCCCTTGGGCAAGTTACTTTAACTTCTCTGATGCTCAGCTTCCTCATCTGTAAAATGGAAAAGGTCGTAACAGTATCACCTTTTCATATGGAGGTTGTGAGAACTAAGTCAGGTAACATGAGTAGGATACTTAAAATGTACATTGAAAGCTAGATAAGTGGACTTAACTGGTGTGTCCTTAGAAAAATCAACATTTCCTTTATAAAGAAAAGCACTAAATTAATATTTTAGAACATAATTTACTTTACCTGAAGGCTAAAAATTCTCCCTGATTTTATAGTTTTTTTTTAAAGTCAAGTTAAATAATGGGGTTAGAATAGGTTTCCTCCCTCTAGGACTACTCTGGAGTTTCTCCGTATGAGGCTCTTCTCTGTATGGGGGCATGTGAGAAACAGCCAACTGATTGATGTTTCTCTCTCTTTCTCCCTTCCTTCCCCTCTCTCTAAAAGTAAACAAATAAATCTGTTTAAAAGGTTTTTAAGAAATAATAGGAGGGTAGAAGTTGATGAATCTGAGATACTGAGTCTCTTTAATGCCCAATAAAATTAACTTTCTTAAGGCATTCATATGGTAGATCATCAGAAAATCACATATGTTGTGAATACAATGGTTACTATGAATATTTGATGAATCTGAAACTTAGGAAAAAGCTTCTTTTGTGTTGTTAACTTTGAACAATTTAATTGTTTTGAGTGTGCATTCTCCCAGCACTAGTTCCATAACTGAAAGCCAAAAATTCTATCTTTAGTGATCCATTAAATAATTACTAAGTCTCTATTATGTGTTCCCATTAAATTGTCTACCCATTTAGACTACTTTCCTGGTTCATCGACTCTTCCTCCTTCCTGGATGGCTATTTCTCCTTTATATTCTATCCTCAAATACCAATCCCCTTTCTCTCATCTTTACTCTCTCTGGTGATGACCTGGCTTCCTATTCTGACATGCTCAAGGCATCAAAAGAGAATTTTCAGATCCCCCTCTAACATCTCCTTCATGGACCAGATCTGTGCCGATACATTTTTTCACTCTAACCTTTTCCCATCAGTGACTTCTCTGTGATTTTCTCCAAAGTCAGTACCCCTCCTTGAATCCTAGCTTCTGTTCCTTCCCCACCACGCAAGTGTATCACTCCAATTTTCTTTCTCCTTGGACCTTCTTTATTTATTTATTTATTTATTTTCAGAGAGAGGGGAAGGGAAAGAGAGAGGGAGAGAAATATCAATGTGTGGTTGCCTCTTATGTGTCCCCCACTGGGAACTGGCCTGCAACCCAGGCATGTGCCCTGACTGGGAATCCAACTGTGATCCTTTGCTTCACAGGCCTGCGCTCAATCCACTGAGCTACACCAGCGACGGCTCTCCTAGACCTTCTTAATCTGTCTATAAGCATCCAGTTACTTCTGTCAAAAGAAAAAAAAGTCTCAACCTTATTTTCTGCTGCTAGCTAGCTACAGTTTGCTTTTCCTTTTGTAGCTAAACCCCTTAAAGCAGGAGTGTCAAACTCATTTTCACTGGGGGCCACATAAGCTTCACAGTTGCCTTCAAAGGGCCAAAATAATTTTAGGACTGTGTAAATGTAACCATCTCTTAACTGGGGCAAGAGCTCGGTGTTGCCACAGGGTAGAAACAAGGCACTGAGCTGGATAAAACAAGGTGGAGGCCGGATTCGGCCATGGGCCTTGTGTTTGCAACCCATGACTTAAAGGAATTATCTTTACTTTGTCTGCAATTTCTAATCTACCCAGTTTCAATGAAACCCACTCCAATATGCTTTATGTTCTCCCCTATCACACCCCTATTAGATTACTGAAGATTTCTACATTGGTAGCGGAGAGGTCAGTTCTCAGTTCTTCTGAAAATGGCCCCTTGAGCCTCAACTAGCACACAGCTGGTCACTTAGTCCTTCCAATAATGTCTTCACTTGGCTTCCAGGACATCTTCATTGAATGGTTTTCTCCCTGTCTCTTTAGTCTCTCCTTTTCAATCTCCTTTCTTATTTCCTTTTCTTCTCTCTGACCTGTTAATGTTGGGGTGCCCTAGAGCTCAGTGCTTTGTCACCTTCTCTACTAGCTCCACTGGTGATCGTATTCATTCACGAGTCGGCAAACCAACATGGTCTGGTGTCTATTCACTCTCCGTCTTCATTTCCTGATGTTGTTTCCGTTCCCCTCCTCCCACCTTGCCCCTTGCTTCCCTGGAACACACCTGGGACACTGTGGCCCCGGGACTCTGAACAGACTGTTTCCTGGACTACAAGGACGTCCCTCCGGATATGCTTGAGGCTAACTCCCTCAGCTCTTTAATGCCTCCCCCGACTGGTCATTCCTAATGAGTATCACAAACCTCCCCTCCTCTCTCTGGTTTCCATATCCTCCTTACTCCACTCTAGCATCCTACAGCACTTAATTACTTTAAAAAAATACTACATAATTTACCTATTAGTATACTTAATTTGTTGTTGTTGTTGTGATCGCTGCTAAGCATATAAACTCCTTGAGGGTAGGGAATCTTTGTTCATTGATGTTTGCCCAGCAGGTAGGATATTGCTGGTTGTGTAAACAATGTTCAATTGATACTTATTTAAATGAGTTGTAGACAAAGGAAGGAAGTATGTGCTGTCTATATTAACTGAAAATTCTTACTGCTTTCCAGATGAAAAACAATTGTGGGATGAATGTTGCCAGCACTACAATCACTTTAGTAGGCTTTGCTTTTCTCTCAACAAACTTGGTAACTAGCATCTTGTTATTCAAGAGTTGTCAGTCTGCACCATCATGGGACTTATGCATTTACCTGGGTGTCACATCAATCTTATGTGTTTAAAAAGTTATATATCATTACAAAATATTGCAAACAATCTAAAATGTAGGGTTACCATCTTGCTTTGATTTGAATCTTTGCTCTGCCATTCATTAGCTCTGTAAAGATGGGCACATCAGATAACCTCTCTGTGTTTCAATTTTCTCATCTTTGAAATGATAGCAATAGTATCGATCTCACAGGGTTGGTACAAGGATTAAATAAATTAATATGTGACAAACAATTAAAATAATGCTTACTACAGTGATTTATATTATTATTAATATAATATAATATTACTACTACTACTAAAATCACCAAAAAGTTTAAATTTTAAAAAATTCTGTTTCACATCTTGCTTTTTAAAACCAACTTGGAAGATTTGTAAGTTCCTCTGTGGTCTGGGATTTTTCAAATAATGACTCATTGAAGTTTTGGATTACCTCACTTTTGAATTTGGCTGTGGAAGTTTCAAAGGAAAAGGTCTTTAATAACCTTTCCAAACTCCTTTTTTGTGTGTTTGTGTTTAGGCATCCTTTCTCTTCTGAGAGTAACTTAGAAATTAAGATATTTCCTCAATTTGTTCATTTTCCCCATGATGATTTGTAAACTATTATTTACCGACTCACTTCTAATCCTCCAGTTTGCTGATGCTATTCATGGTAGTTAGTGTCTTCATTTTCTTTTTATATTTTTCATGACTCAGTTCATACTTATATGGTTCTGACTTTTCTGTAGATCCTATGGAATTTTCCTTCCAGTGCAATTTTGTATTTGCTTTTTTTCTAGGTGCTTCAGTAATAGGAGAAGGACCACTAATCTAGTACTTTTCTTGTTTAATATTTTTGCTTAGTGTTTGTTGTTAGTTAGGAATAGAGTAAATGCCCAAACCTTTATGAAGTGCTATTAATGAGATTGTGGAGGGGTGATATTTGTCCATTTTAAAAAAACTTTCTTCTCACCTTCTTTGTTTGCTGCTACTCCAACTGGGAGGTGTTAGTGGCTGGGTCAGAATTCTGCCTTTGTAGCTTCTCCCCCTCATGCCTACTTCACATGATACAGAAATACAACATCTCTCTCCAGGAAAAAGATTTCCATGTTTTCAGACTGATAATTGTGTCTCTTACAGAGTGTTAGTGTGTGGCTGTGTTTTAAAACTAATTTACAGTTTACTTTGTTCTATTCTGTGGGAGGGAAATATTGTAGTTTGATTTTCTGCTGATGTTTTTTTTCTCTGAATGTTTCTACTGGGTTTGAAATGAGGCATCATATCCCCTAGTGCCTTGTGTTTTTAATGCTGATCTTTACCTTGATAGAATTATGCATAACCATCTCTAACTCAGCCATGGGGTGCAAAGCAAACTGCTTTAGTTCAAGAGAGATGGGTTTGTTTAAATGAGTAATTATTCCCATGGTCTGCCACCTTCCTCTGGGTTTTGAGGTCACCCCTGACTCTTGAGATTGAAAAGAAACATCTATGCAGTAATGGCTTGTGGGGTTCCTGGAGTAACAGATGGTACAAATGTTAGAGATGGAATGAAGGCTGGAAAAGAATTCTGATGTAAAACACGCAGGAGGAAAGAGTGCACTTCATACTAAGAGCACACATTTTTTATACGGAAAGAATTAAATTATTATTTTCCTGTAACTTGTCACTTTCTAGCTATATACCCAGGAAAAAACCCACCAATTCCTTTTAGATTTTTTTGGTAACTGTAAAATGAAACTGTTTTCATTCATTCATTCATTCACAAACTGATGTTTGTGTAAGAACTATGTATATAGTACTTTAGCACAGTAATAATCCATGAATTAATATTATTGGTAATGATCATGATGATAATAGAAAGGGATGGAAGGAGAGGCAGGTGATGAGCCTCTTCTTGGAGACTGATGTTGTTTTATTTTTCAGGCAACTTCCTCAACCCCCAGTTCTGTGGAATCAGGATCACATCCTCATTAAAATAAATTTGGACACAAGGAAATTCAACCTCAAATCTACATGAGTTAGAGTTCCAGCCAGGAACTCGAAAGAACATGAGCCTTGAAGCGCATTCCTACTATCATGGCACCTATCATGAGAAACTTGGACACTTAACTCAGTCCTTTCTGTTCTCACTATAAACTCCATGCTTCTTTAGGCATTTCTAGCTTTGTAACTTCTGTGATCACCACTCCAAAGTTGTTCCCAGAAACTGGTACTCTTTCTTCTTACCTAACTATGCCATGGCCTTATAAGGTTTAAAGAAGGCAAAGAGAATAATCTCTATCTCATGTATTCTCTCTAAAATCCAACCTCCATCTATCCAATGAAAAGTCAGATTTTTTTTTTTTTACTACAAAAAATGCTTCTTGACTTCAGGTCAATCAGCATTGCAAAAATGGTCATGAAAAAAATCAATGTCATCATTAAGGTAAATTGTAACTATATTTGAGGTGAGGCAGTCAGACCTCAAGATTTTATTTCAATTAGCTGCTGAGAAGCATTCACACATATCCTGATACAGAAGTAATGGTATAGATTGAGAGCTTTGAGAGCAAGATCAACATTTATTCTTCAAAGCATGGTGAGAAACTGCAAACCCAAGACATAAAGAATAAGGGCTTTAAAGTCTCACAGATGTGGGTTCAAATTCTGATACTGTCACTCATAAAGGTATGTATTATGTGTTATCTCATATAACAGTATGTGTTATCTCACAAATATGTGTTAATTTGAGTAAGTTATTTAACCTCTTACCTGTTTTTCCTCATCTGTAAAGTAAGTGTAAGAGTATCAGTTAACCGTATCAACAGTTTTTTTTGAGGGTGGAATAAAAGTAAAGCAAATGGAAACTAACACCACACTCCTTGACTGTTGTTGTTGGTCTTGTTGTTGCTGTTAGGCTGAGGTGGGATCATGGTCAGATGTTCAGAAAAGATGGCAGAAACCCTTGTTCTTTCACTGTGGGTCCCCCTTCACCTTCCAGCAACTTTAAAGGCTTTCTTTCCTCTGATATATATGGCTCCTGATTTATGAATCTGCTGCTGAGTTATTTATATTTCTGATCTATAAATTAATTTTTCTCTCTTGACACTGAACTGAATCATCCACAATGTCCATAAGTTCATACCTACAAGTTACTCTTAGCTCCTTGTTTACCATATGTGCAAAGATCTTTCTATAATTTCTATTAATTCTTATCTCTCTTTTTCAGAATATATGTGTGTGTATGCATGTGTGTAAGTATATATATATATATATATATACATATATATATACACACACACACACACACACACACACACACACAGTCTGTCCAGAAGGTATCCAGCCATGTAATATGAAAAATAGAGATATTTATTGAAGAAGATACAAGATACAATAAACATTATGCATAGGACAATGATGCCTCAGTCCCCTCCAAAGTAGGCACCTTGGGACCTCACACATTTCTCCCAATTGCCCACCATCAGCTGCTCTGTCGTATTTTCTTGAATCTCATTAGAGGACTAAAATCTCTTCCCTTTCAAAGGTAATTTTAGTTTTTAGAGAAGCCAAAACTCACAGGATGCCAAATCTGGACTGTAGGGGGCTGAGTCACCTGGGTGATTTGTTGTTTTGCCAAAAAACTGCACGAGACGTGATTCATGAGTAGGTGCATTGTTGTGATGATGCTGCCAACCACAATTGCCCATAGCTGTAGCCTTCTGAATCACCCAAATAATTTCTGCAGAGAAATGATTAAGCTTAATGCAAAATTTGATTCTGATTCATTGCTCTACTTGTTCAGTCATTTTGAATGCCACAGCCATGCAGTACACATGCTCACTCAATGGTGTCTACCTCCCTCACTGAGTAGTATAGTGAAGTCATCATTGTTCACACATGTGCATTCCAGTCCACTCTTCTTGACTGCCAGGTTATATTGATGTCATGCAAACTGTTCTCATTATATTAACAATGCCTTGACTTTTTCCAGACAGATTTTATATATATACTATTTTTTAGTATATTCAACAATCATTTATGGAGTGCCTATTATGTGTCATGTACTATATTAGCAGTTTGGCATACATTAGAGAGTGATTTGGAGCAACTGAATAGTCTGTATAAATCTTTCTCTTTACATTTCTGAGGTCATATAAATGAAAAAACAAAGGTATTCTCTTCAAGTTTGGACTCAGCACTAAGCTTATTGGGGCCATCTGTCTTGTTCTGTAAACAATATTTTCTCATTCCTGTGGAGCATTCATAGTTTGGTATCAATCTCAGCCTCTCTCAGCATTGGCACCTTAACTGTATTTATTAAACCCATAATTGCCTGTGGAGGGTGGGGAGAGAGGGAGAGAGGGATTTCCCTTCGGGAGTATCAGAAGATTCCTCTTAAGAGATAGTGCACTTTCAATGTGTAACATGCAAATTCATGCATATTTATTTTGAGTAACTTGAGCATTCAGTTTGAGAAAACAATGGTTCAGATGCAATATGACAGCAAATTTCTTTTGAGTTTGGGGAAAAACCCTTGGTTGTCAAAGAGGAAGCCAGATGGGGATGTGGATGAACAGCAGGTGCTAATGCATTATCAGAAGGAGGAAATGTATGTGGTTGGAGAAACATGTTAGTTCAATTATCTCTTCCTTTCAGGCAAATGTGTGATTAAAACTCATCTTGATAATTTTGCTCCCACCAAGAGAAAAAGCCATTTTGTCATATATCTCAATGTTCACTGTTGTGAAAGATGACAGAGCATGGCTGTAAGGACCCACAGTGTGGATGCAGAAGATGATACGCATCTCAGAAAGGGTAGGAGGAAGGTGCTGGTTGAAACTGGGATATGAAGCAATTTGGAGATCATAAAATATGTCTCAGTTTCTGGTTTGCATTTTTCAATTTTCTATTGGAAATTCTCACAAAATAGCATCATACCCAAATACCAAAGACTGTCCTCCATTGGTTTCCTGTCTAAATCTCAAGTCTAATTTTGAATTATTTGCTGCCCACATAGTGAACTATTATATACTCCCAGAAAACTCCATAAACAGGCATTTCTTCAGGTCTTTTTCCAACAGAGGTGTTATAATTTCTCTGAGGTAAAGGTAAGGAAGTGAAATCTCCTGAGGCTATGCTCTTAAATCCTGACCCAAATATTCCTTTCTCTGGGAATTTCTTCTTTGAATTCTACATACTCCTTTTCAGGTAGAATTCGTATATCATTTGTATGTCCCAGCAGTTTCTGACATACTGGTAATATTACATAATTTATCTTTGTTCTACGCTGCTAGATTGTGAGCTGGACAAGGCCTGGGACCCTGGTTCTCATCTGTGCATGCTCAGTGATACCAGCAGTACCTGACATGGTACATTAAAGTCCTTTTTGGATGAATGTATAAGTGAGTGAGGTTTATTTCTTAAGTACAATAACACATTGGTCAGGTACAACAATTCCTGAAGACACAGTGGGAAGATAACATATGGGTTAATAAATTCTTATGTCCTCTTGTTCATACAATTATTTTAGTTTCCCGAAGAATGAGGATTTTTATCACACCCCAGAGAAACAATCCAGATGATTAGTGATACAATTTGTAGTATCTTACAGTTTAATGAAGAGGCATTCAAGGTTATAACTATAATTAAACTCAAATTAAAGTGTCCTAAGTCTGTATATTCACCTGTAAGTTCACTTTGCTATGGTCTAGCTACTTATGCAATCAGAATGAACACATTAGTTAAGTTTTAACCTTAATTGTGGCATACGGCTCAGTCCAATGATACTGAGACCTATTCATAGGATTTGCCATCAAGTTCAAATTCATGCCCTTCAGTGTTTTCACTGTCCCATCCTTGTCATCACAAAAATCAAAGCAACAGACCATCAGTCTAATAATTTAGCAGACAATGGAGTCTTTAGTGTGAAAATGTCTCAGTGCTCTTGCATCAGGAACGATTCACAGTAGTTAGAACTCTTCCTATCCAGTTTCTGACACCATCTGTTCCAGAGAGCCATGTAAATAGTGTCCAAAAGAGAGGAAGAGAGAGAAAGACAATAACTATCCAAGTCAGAGATGAATCCAGAGATTCAGAGACTAAGACACATTCCTACTTGCAAAAAGTGCTTCAGCCTTAGCTTATGTGTGAACCTCAATATGTATTATGTAGGGAAGATAGGCTTTTCAAAGGTATAATTAGAGAACTTCTGGTATAGAAATAGCTGAACTGGGACACAAGTAGAGAGAGTTCCAGTAGAGAATGACATCTCTTTCTGTTCTGCAGGAGTTTCTTCTTCACCTTCTCAATTTCCATTAAACTGTTCCATCTTTAGGGTTTGTACATCCTGCTGGTATCAGGAAAAGTTCTTCTCCAGGAGTCTCACCTTAGTTCCTATTCAGTAGACTACTCAGGTTTTCTTCTCAACA